CTACAGGCTGTATTCACCAATGTTTGTTTGCAAACAAGCTCGCTGCCGCCCACTATCGGCGGACCCCTGCGCGCTTCCGGTTTTCCTCTTCTTTTCCTCTTGCCACACATCCTTTTGTTATTTGTACTACGTTCTACAAAGCGCGTAGGTTCTTACAAACCTATTACAGGTACCTCTCCGAAGGAAAATCTTATTTTCCGATCGCTGTGTGTTACTGAAGAAATAAATACACTACCGGAAGTCTACTGGGGCACCAAATACTGTGGCGCCCTCGTGGTACTAACTCCCACCGAATGCGGTGAATAAATATCCCCGTAACCCAATTTGCTTTTTTTTTTTTATGATAACTGAAGACTTGGTTCTGGTTTGAAATTAATCGCTTTTGGAAATGAACTGTTTCAGAAAGATGAGTTTGTATTTTTAACGCAATTTAAAGATATAAAAACATGTTTTTAGCATGTAACTGTGCGTCTAAATAGTGCAAGGAAAATAAAATTTCCTGATGATGATGGCAAGTCGTAGCAATTCGGCTGCTGCGTGCGAATGCGGGAGGTCCGTGCTGCTGGTGTTGCGACGTAAAGTTGCTGGGCGAAATTGCACGCGCACTGGGCGAAATAGCACGCGCACTTGATGTCATTGAGTGCGCGTGCAATTGTACTGCATCTTTATACAACCGCGTTCGCAACCGCTTTGCGAACGCGGATCCGCTTTCAGTGTGAATGAGCGGTGAAGCGGGCCTTAAGGGCGGTTCAGACACTTGCGTTTGAGTGCGTTTGACTGCGTTGCGTCGAGAACGGAAAGCGAGTCACCGGCACATCTGTGCTTCGTATGAAGCGTGGATTCCAATTCAAGGAATCATCTTAGCACGCGATATAAGCAGCAGGGATGTCCTGGTTTCTCGCTGCCGCAACGCAGTCAAACGCAGTCAAACGCAACTGTCTGAACCAGGCTTTAGGGTGTTTTGGTAGACCGTACGCTTTCAGGTAGCGTGCCCAGAGATAGCGTGCCCAACCCATGCTTCAAAATGACGGCACGAGCTCCCCCTAGCAAAGCGGAGCTCGAGCGTACGGTACTTCACGAGTAATAGCGGGATAACTGAGCGCGCGAGCTTCTCAACGAGCGTCGCTCGAGCAGCAACATCGTTGTGCGCTCAAGAGACGAAGATGCACGGAACGCGGTGACGCACACACTGCGCCGTCTCAATCACACTTCGACAAACTCTTGTGCTCTCTGCTCTGTCAGTACGCCCAATCGCATAGTTCCGCATTAAAACTTCAGCCGTGCTCGAAAGTCAAGTAATAAAGGGGTCACTTACCCGGGCTGCCAGGACATCGTCGACGTTGAGCTTGTTGCGTCGTTGCAGCAAAAAGACAATTACACCGCTCGAAATATTCGATACGAAAAACGAAAGTACTAAAAAAATAAATCCCTAAATCTAAGAAATCTAAATACAAAAATAAAAACCTGCTCACTACGGAACCTCGTGCTCAGAAGACACGGGGACACAACACGAAATAATCGTTACAAAAACGATAGTCGATAGTACTAAAAAAAAAACCCTAAATCTACGAAATCTAAATACAAAACAAAGAAAAGCTGCTCAGTGCAAAACCTCGGGCCCGAAAGGAGACCTAAATTTACGAAACTTAAATAATACGAACCAAAGAAAAGTCGCTCAATACGGAACCTCGTGCTCGGAAGGAAACACGGGGACACAGATGAAGAATACAATTACACAAAACGAAATAATCTATATAAAAACTAACGTAATCTACGAAATCTAAATAATATTAAACAAAGAAAATGCGCTGCTCGGTGCGGTACGTCGTGCTCGGAAGAAGACTCGGGAGGCACGGGGACAGACCTGTAGAATCACGGAAACCGAGGGAGAAAAGGGACCTAGGGATGTAGGGAAACAATCGTAAATTGCGTTGGGCGATAACTCGCGCCATCTGGCAAAAAACAAAAAAAATATTAGGTGTCGTTGATTAGTGGGCGAGCATTGTTTTCTCGCACCGCTCGCACCGTGCGAGCTGCCTAGCATCTGGTGGCCGCGTTAACCAGGGGCGGACCCAGGGGGGGGGGGGGGGGGAGGGGGGGGGGGGCGACGGGGCCGGCCACCCCCCAGACAGTCTACTCCCCCCTCCCCTTTCCCCTCATCTAGGAAGGCAATTTTACCTAGTTGAACCCCCCCGGTGCGCAGACGAAAGAATGGGAGAATAGTATCCTTACAAATTTTTTGCCCCCCCCCCCCCCCCAAAAAGGGAGTTCTGGATCCACCCCTGTTGTTAACAAGCACAACGCAACGTTTGAATTGATCAAATTCAAACGCGAACACATCGAGGGGCGTGAAACAAAAATATTGTTTTGCACATTTCACTGGTGAATGCAGGTCTTGCTACTAGTTCAGACATTTGCGTCGGTTGCGGGCATAGCGCAGCGAACGTCGATTGAGGCAACCTGGACAACCATATGACTCGTGATTACTTCACGAAGCTACTTTATTCTCAACGGCGAACCAACGCCTCTACCATTGCAGTCATTTCAATAGCACTGAACATGACTGTCAAAACTAGGCATAAGAGGCAGGGTCTAGGACCATTCGTCAAAAGCCCATAAGAGGCAGGGTCTAGGTCCATTCGTCAAAAGCCCATTCGCCGACAGACAACTGGTAGACGGACAATTCGTCGAATAAGACAGTTCGCACTAGGCGAATTAGTCGAACGGGAAACTTGTTGAAGCGGCCCGTTCATGTAAAAAATATTCATCGAAAGAACTACAACAATGTTGGAGTGATGAGCCTATAGCCGGTGACAGGTCAAGAACGAAGCGGAAGCTCCTCCCACCCCTTTCCTCTTTAGTGGAGCGAATGGTGGAGGGGAGGTCGCCTCCTCTGCAGCGTTCGATCTACAAAGTGGGAAGAGGTGGGGGGAGCGTCTATCCGGTGAGCTTAATTGTCCGGTGAGTTCCTGTCTGGGATTCGAGATCTTCTATGCTCAATGGCACTGCTTTGATGCCATTTTATTGAGAGAAACCGAAGATGTATCACAGCTGAAATTAGAACTGCTGAGGTACCCAGCGGATTGTATTGTCATAGGTTAGCACACTTTAGCACATGGCAGCCATTCTGCTTAAACAAAGCCCAGGGATCCTGCGCTCAAGCCTCACCCATATGACAAACTCAGGCTTTTGTAACGAGAGACAAATAGCCTTATGTGGAGTTTGGTGGTTCACTAAGTTCACAAAGCTCACGGTCTCGGGTTTTAAGACGGCTGGGAGCATTTTTGACTACGAACGTGCTATAGTCTATTGTTATTGTGTTTTTATTGAGGCAAAGCTCACTGTTTTGAGGTTTTGCCAGGAGTGGTCACAGGCCACTGTTTTTGGAACTTGTAAGGGAGCACCCGAGAAACAAGAACAGTGTTTTTCGGCCTGGATAAATTAAATATTCACCGCGAAAAGCTCAAACTTCACGAGAATGTGATGCAAGCGGTTGGGATAGAACGCGGAAGTTTGAAAACGTTACGATATCTGAATAAAAAAAATGACAGAGAAAATGAATTTCTCTACGAGCCGACACGTCCATCTAAGCCTAATATCGTAAAAACAGAATTTGACATTGCGGACGATTTTGGGACTCATATCAAAGAAAAAAAAAACAAAAACAAAAAAACTTGTCAATGAAAGAGAATATTGTTTTCGTTCTTGGTGAGAAGTTTTTTTTTCCCCCGCTGGAAATAGATGCCACAGCTGGCGCCCACATATTAGGCTTATGTGACCCGATCCAAGCAATGTTATGTTGTCAAACTTCCGCGTTATATCCCAACCGCTAGCGTACATTCTCGTGGAGTTTGAGCTTTCTGTGATTTATAGTTTATTTACCTGGGCTGAAAAACACGGTCCTTTGGCTTACGTGATAAAGCAAACAATCATGTCATCGGTGCATCTTTTCAAGCGAAGTGCTCACGTTCGCTTGTGCCCCACTCACTGATAGTACAGCCATAGGTACAACCTCGGTACAATACTGATAAAGCTGGTGGCTCGAGCGTGTGGCTCCAACTTGGGGTTCATTCTCACGTCCTCTAACGAAAGTGAGACAATATAAATAAAAAAAAAAGTGATTTTCATGTGCTCCCGCTAGCAACTTCTACACCGGCAGGGAGTTCTTTCACGCTCGAGGCTCGCGAAACGCCCGATTGCTATCGAAGGTAGGAAGCTCGCACTGGAGCGACCGCGTAGCCAGGACGGCCACCCACCCCAAGGCCCAAAGTCAGGGTTGAAGGACCCTGCTGCGTAGCGATGGAATTACGACCGATTTAATAAACCACTTCTTTAACGTAGACGCTGTAAGCACCCGATAGAGCAGCACCGCTTGCTCGACATTGAGTTGCTCATGCTCTTGTAAAATTATGTGCAAGACAGAAGCTTTAATTTTACTATAGGAAAACGACGAAAAATTCTGTAGCTGTTGTGCCCAGATGTCACCGTTCAGGAGGAATCTCAAGAAGGGCATAAGCGGCACAGCTGCTACAGCGGCACAGGCTACTCGTGGCTGGTGGTGGCTCTGTCTTGGCTTTACTCGGTTGGAGGCACCTATACGTGATCAGATGCTCACTACACTGATCAGTGGCTCACTACAATGCCTCGTTGTCAGCCGCTCGCGGCCTAGCCTCTCGAGTACTGTATGTTCTGAACTCTTTCCTTCAGGTGCCTTCCCGCGCCCCCGACCCTTCGTCTTTTCCGCAGGCCCACGCAGGCCCTGCGCTCCTTTTATTTTACGGGCGACCGCTTTTCTTTTTATTTACTTGACTCGTTTGTTCCCCTCACCAAGCTGATCAGCATGAGTTCGAGGTGGAAAAAGCCACGAACATTGCGAAAGGAATTTGATGAAATCGCAAGTAGGATTGCGGCCGCAAACGCTACGGCCGCCGCCGGAAGGTCCACCGCCGACGCCGCTTCAAGCGACTCTTCAAGGGACGCAACAAGCAGCGCTTCAAGCGATGACGAACCTTGCCCCGGCTCTTGTGGAAGCAGCACAACTGACGGAAGTGGAGCTGACCCTGCGACAGGCTGCGACCCAGCAGACGCGCTTGCATCTGAAGACGAGCCATGCAACGCAAGTTTCGAGGTCAGCGGAGCTACCTCGGAAGACTGTCCGCGCACGGCCACGGAGGAACTGGCTATCTTAGCGCGTCGTTTCAACTTCACACATGAAGCAGTGAATGAGACCGCTGCTGCGTTAAGGAGACTCGGCCACGACGTCCCTAAAGATGCCCGAACTATTCTCGGCACCGAGAGGAAGGCCCCGCTGGAGCAGGATGGAACTTTTATTCATTTTGGGCTGAAGAAAGGTATCGAGCAAGCCCTGCAAGGGAAAACAGTGCCACAGGAGCTTCTCCTCCAAGCAAACATTGATGGGCTCCCTCTTTATAAGAGTTCAAACATTGGCTTTTGGCCAATCCTTTGTCGCCTGACAAACTGTGGTGAAAGCACCCCTTTTGTTGTCAGTATGTTTTGCGACAGCGGCAAGCCTCCAGACCTCTCAAGTTTTCTTGACCCCTTCTTGAAGGAAATTCAAGAGATGACAGCCAACGGCTTCGTTTACAAAGGTTCGTGCCTAACCGTCCATTTAACAGCCGTCATATGCGATGCTCCTGCAAGGAGCTTTGTTAAGAAGGTCAAGGGCCATACTGGGTATCATGGCTGTGAGAGGTGCTGCCAGAAGGGTCGGCACATTGAGGGAAGGATGACATTCCCGGAACTTGAAGCACCAAAACGAACTGACAAGTCATTTCGTGACCAAGAGGACCCATTGCACCACGTGGGTGACTCGCCGTTCACTCTGCTGAAAAATGATATAATTTCACTTTTCCCCCTAGACTACATGCATCTAGTGTGTCTAGGTGTGATGCGCCGCCTGCTTCAAACGTGGGTTAGGGGGCGTGGATCGTTGAGGACCACGTAGAAAGAAAAACTCAACAGAAGACTAAAGTCGTGTGCCAAAGTATTCCCCCGACACTTCCAACGGAAGCCCAGAGGTGTGGACGAGGTCGACCGGTGGAAGGCAACAGAATTCCGGACCTTCCTCTTGTATGTTGGACCTGTTGTTCTGAGGGGCCTGCTTCCAGATCACCAGTACGAACATTTTCTCTTTTTGCATGTGGCCATAAGAATTCTTGCATCACCAGCTCACCACGTTGAGCATAACGCCTATGCCAGAGACCTGCTTCGTTTTTTTGTGCAGGAGTATGGCACCGTAGGACTTTACGGAGCACGGTTTTTAACCTACAATGTACACACATTGAGCCACCTTGCCGAGGAGTGCCTTGTCCATGGACCGCTTGACGCATTTAGTACATTCCCTTTCGAGAGTTTTCTCGGAAAACTCAAGCCCCTGCTGCGAACACATAGCAACCCTTTGGCGCAAGTTAGCCGCAGGCTTTCTGAACATGCGGGAGCAACATGCTTCTCTGTTGCAAAACGAGTCACCCACACCATCAACAAAGGAGACTGCTACCTGATCAGGAAATCCCCAGTCATCGTTTTAGAGGTGTCTCAAAGCACGTGCGAAGTCGCTTCATTAACAAATGCTAGGAACTTTTTCGATGTTCCGATGAAATCATCTGCCCTAGACATTTTTAGAACCGATGGCCAGGACACTACAGTCAAGAGATTGCAGATCTCAGATGTTCATGGGTCCCAACAGTGTCTTCTTTTGCCCTCCAAGTCCGGCCATGTTGCCTTTCCACTCCTCCATATGCAGTAACTCCTTATCTTTCCCTCGTTTGTTGTTTTCGGCTGGCCAGAACTCTCTGCCGGACATTTGCTGAAACCTGTCGTAGAGGCTGTCGTCGGCTGTCTTGGTGGCTGCTTGGAAGTTCTTTCCCAGCAACGCGTGCATTGTTGCTGATCAGTGTGTGGGGGTGCAAGCTGCTTTTCTGCGGACATGGCTGTCTCCTCTTTTCTGGAGTCCGTACTGGTGCGTGGAACTGAGTGTTTGGCCTGTTCGGCTGCGACATTTGGCTGGCCAGAACTTTCTGCCGGACATTTGCTGAAACCTGTCGTAGAGGCTGTCGTCGGCTGTCTTGGTGGCTGCTTGGAAGTTCTTTCCCAGCAACGCGTGCATTGTTGCTGATCAGTGTGTGGGGGTGCAAGCTGCTTTCGTGTGGACATGGCTGTCTCCTCTTTTCTGGAATCCGTACTGGTGCGTGGAACTGAGTGTTTGGCCTGTTCGGCTGCGACATTTGGCTGGCCAGAACTTTCTGCCGGACATTTGCTGAAACCTGTCGTAGAGGCTGTCGTCGGCTGTCTTGGTGGCTGCTTGGAAGTTCTTTCCCAGCAACGCGTGCATTGTTGCTGATCAGTGTGTGGGGGTGCAAGCTGCTTTCGTGTGGACATGGCTGTCTCCTCTTTTCTGGAGTCCGTACTGGTGCGTGGAACTGAGTGTTTGGCCTGTTCGGCTGCGACATTTGGCTGGCCAGAACTTTCTGCCGGACATTTGCTGAAACCTGTCGTAGTGGCTGTCGTCGGCTGTCTTGGTGGCTGCTTGGAAGTTCTTTCCCAGCAACGCGTGCATTGTTGCTGATCAGTGTGTGGGGGTGCAAGCTGCTTTCGTGTGGACATGGCTGTCTCCTCTTTTCTGGAGTCCGTACTGGTGCGTGGAACTGAGTGTTTGGCCTGTTCGGCTGCGACATTTGGCTGGCCAGAACTTTCTGCCGGACATTTGCTGAAACCTGTCGTAGAGGCTGTCGTCGGCTGTCTTGGTGGCTGCTTGGAAGTTCTTTCCCAGCAACGCGTGCATTGTTGCTGATCAGTGTGTGGGGGTGCAAGCTGCTTTTCTGCGGACATGGCTGTCTCCTCTTTTCTGGAGTCCGTACTGGTGCGTGGAACTGAGTGTTTGGCCTGTTCGGCTGCGACATTTGGCTGGCCAGAACTTTCTGCCGGACATTTGCTGAAACCTGTCGTAGAGGCTGTCGTCGGCTGTCTTGGTGGCTGCTTGGAAGTTCTTTCCCAGCAACGCGTGCATTGTTGCTGATCAGTGTGTGGGGGTGCAAGCTGCTTTTCTGCGGACATGGCTGTCTCCTCTTTTCTCAAGTCCGTACTGGTGCGTGGAACTGAGTGTTTGGCCTGTTCGGCTGCGACATTTGGCTGGCCAGAACTTTCTGCCGGACATTTGCTGAAACCTGTCGTAGTGGCTGTCGTCGGCTGTCTTGGTGGCTGCTTGGAAGTTCTTTCCCAGCAACGCGTGCATTGTTGCTGATCAGTGTGTGGGGGTGCAAGCTGCTTTCGTGTGGACATGGCTGTCTCCTCTTTTCTGGAGTCCGTACTGGTGCGCGGAACTGAGTGTTTGGCCTGTTCGGCTGCGACATTTGGCTGGCCAGAACTTTCTGCCGGACATTTGCTGAAACCTGTCGTAGAGGCTGTCGTCGGCTGTCTTGGTGGCTGCTTGGAAGTTCTTTCCCAGCAACGCGTGCATTGTTGCTGATCAGTGTGTGGGGGTGCAAGCTGCTTTTCTGCGGACATGGCTGTCTCCTCTTTTCTGGAGTCCGTACTGGTGCGTGGAACTGAGTGTTTGGCCTGTTCGGCTGCGACATTTGGCTGGCCAGAACTTTCTGCCGGACATTTGCTGAAACCTGTCGTAGAGGCTGTCGTCGGCTGTCTTGGTGGCTGCTTGGAAGTTCTTTCCCAGCAACGCGTGCATTGTTGCTGATCAGTGTGTGGGGGTGCAAGCTGCTTTTCTGCGGACATGGCTGTCTCCTCTTTTCTGGAGTCCGTACTGGTGCGTGGAACTGAGTGTTTGGCCTGTTCGGCTGCGACATTTGGCTGGCCAGAACTTTCTGCCGGACATTTGTTGAAACCTGTCGTAGAGGCTGTCGTCGGCTGTCTTGGTGGCTGCTTGGAAGTTCTTTCCCAGCAACGCGTGCATTGTTGCTGATCAGTGTGTGGGGGTGCAAGCTGCTTTTCTGCGGACATGGCTGTCTCCTCTTTTCTCAAGTCCGTACTGGTGCGTGGAACTGAGTGTTTGGCCTGTTCGGCTGCGACATTTGGCTGGCCAGAACTTTCTGCCGGACATTTGCTGAAACCTGTCGTAGAGGCTGTCGTCGGCTGTCTTGGTGGCTGCTTGGAAGTTCTTTCCCAGCAACGCGTGCATTGTTGCTGATCAGTGTGTGGGGGTGCAAGCTGCTTTTCTGCGGACATGGCTGTCTCCTCTTTTCTGGAGTCCGTACTGGTGCGTGGAACTGAGTGTTTGGCCTGTTCGGCTGCGACATTTGGCTGGCCAGAACTTTCTGCCGGACATTTGCTTAAACCTGTCGTAGAGGCTGTCGTCGGCTGTCTTGGTGGCTGCTTGGAAGTTCTTTCCCAGCAACGCGTGCATTGTTGCTGATCAGTGTGTGGGGGTGCAAGCTGCTTTTCTGCGGACATGGCTGTCTCCTCTTTTCTGGAGTCCGTACTGGTGCGTGGAACTGAGTGTTTGGCCTGTTCGGCTGCGACATTTGGCTGGCCAGAACTTTCTGCCGGACATTTGCTGAAACCTGTCGTAGAGGCTGTCGTCGGCTGTCTTGGTGGCTGCTTGGAAGTTCTTTCCCAGCAACCCGTGCATTGTTGCTGATCAGTGTGTGGGGGTGCAAGCTGCTTTCGTGTGGACATGGATGTCTCCTCTTTTCTGGAGTCCGTACTGGTGCGTGGAACTGAGTGTTTGGCCTGTTCGGCTGCGACATTTGGCTGGCCAGAACTTTCTGCCGGACATTTGCTGAAACCTGTCGTAGAGGCTGTCGTCGGCTGTCTTGGTGGCTGCTTGGAAGTTCTTTCCCAGCAACGCGTGCATTGTTGCTGATCAGTGTGTGGGGGTGCAAGCTGCTTTTCTGCGGACATGGCTGTCTCCTCTTTTCTCAAGTCCGTACTGGTGCGTGGAACTGAGTGTTTGGCCTGTTCGGCTGTGACATTTGGCTGGCCAGAACTTTCTGCCGGACATTTGCTGAAACCTGTCGTAGTGGCTGTCGTCGGCTGTCTTGGTGGCTGCTTGGAAGTTCTTTCCCAGCAACGCGTGCATTGTTGCTGATCAGTGTGTGGGGGTGCAAGCTGCTTTCGTGTGGACATGGCTGTCTCCTCTTTTCTGGAGTCCGTACTGGTGCGTGGAACTGAGTGTTTGGCCTGTTCGGCTGCGACATTTGGCTGGCCAGAACTTTCTGCCGGACATTTGCTGAAACCTGTCGTAGAGGCTGTCGTCGGCTGTCTTGGTGGCTGCTTGGAAGTTCTTTCCCAGCAACGCGTGCATTGTTGCTGATCAGTGTGTGGGGGTGCAAGCTGCTTTTCTGCGGACATGGCTGTCTCCTCTTTTCTGGAGTCCGTACTGGTGCGTGGAACTGAGTGTTTGGCCTGTTCGGCTGCGACATTTGGCTGGCCAGAACTTTCTGCCGGACATTTGCTGAAACCTGTCGTAGAGGCTGTCGTCGGCTGTCTTGGTGGCTGCTTGGAAGTTCTTTCCCAGCAACCCGTGCATTGTTGCTGATCAGTGTGTGGGGGTGCAAGCTGCTTTCGTGTGGACATGGCTGTCTCCTCTTTTCTGGAGTCCGTACTGGTGCGTGGAACTGAGTGTTTGGCCTGTTCGGCTGCGACATTTGGCTGACCAGAACTTTCTGCCGGACATTTGCTGAAACCTGTCGTAGAGGCTGTCGTCGGCTGTCTTGGTGGCTGCTTGGAAGTTCTTTCCCAGCAACGCGTGCATTGTTGCTGATCAGTGTGTGGGGGTGCAAGCTGCTTTTCTGCGGACATGGCTGTCTCCTCTTTTCTCAAGTCCGTACTGGTGCGTGGAACTGAGTGTTTGGCCTGTTCGGCTGCGACATTTGGCTGGCCAGAACTTTCTGCCGGACATTTGCTGAAACCTGTCGTAGTGGCTGTCGTCGGCTGTCTTGGTGGCTGCTTGGAAGTTCTTTCCCAGCAACGCGTGCATTGTTGCTGATCAGTGTGTGGGGGTGCAAGCTGCTTTCGTGTGGACATGGCTGTCTCCTCTTTTCTGGAGTCCGTACTGGTGCGTGGAACTGAGTGTTTGGCCTGTTCGGCTGCGACATTTGGCTGGCCAGAACTTTCTGCCGGACATTTGCTGAAACCTGTCGTAGAGGCTGTCGTCGGCTGTCTTGGTGGCTGCTTGGAAGTTCTTTCCCAGCAACGCGTGCATTGTTGCTGATCAGTGTGTGGGGGTGCAAGCTGCTTTTCTGCGGACATGGCTGTCTCCTCTTTTCTGGAGTCCGTACTGGTGCGTGGAACTGAGTGTTTGGCCTGTTCGGCTGCGACATTTGGCTGGCCAGAACTTTCTGCCGGACATTTGCTGAAACCTGTCGTAGAGGCTGTCGTCGGCTGTCTTGGTGGCTGCTTGGAAGTTCTTTCCCAGCAACGCGTGCATTGTTGCTGATCAGTGTGTGGGGGTGCAAGCTGCTTTTCTGCGGACATGGATGTCTCCTCTTTTCTCAAGTCCGTACTGGTGCGTGGAACTGAGTGTTTGGCCTGTTCGGCTGCGACATTTGGCTGGCCAGAACTTTCTGCCGGACATTTGCTGAAACCTGTCGTAGAGGCTGTCGTCGGCTGTCTTGGTGGCTGCTTGGAAGTTCTTTCCCAGCAACGCGTGCATTGTTGCTGATCAGTGTGTGGGGGTGCAAGCTGCTTTTCTGCGGACATGGCTGTCTCCTCTCTTCTGGAGTCCGTACTGGTGCGTGGAACTGAGTGTTTGGCCTGTTCGGCTGCGACATTTGGCTGGCCAGAACTTTCTGCCGGACATTTGCTGAAACCTGTCGTAGAGGCTGTCGTCGGCTGTCTTGGTGGCTGCTTGGAAGTTCTTTCCCAGCAACGCGTGCATTGTTGCTGATCAGTGTGT